TCAACTTGGTCATTAGCCAAGCACCTGCCGGGGCTGCGAGTGCCACTGTCGTGTAAGTTGGCATCCCTCATCGCAACCAAGCCCTGACGAGAGTTTGTAGGAGCGGCTGGCACACCAGCAGAAGCGACAGACGGCGGCACTGTACCGTCGATTACTACGACGCCGCTGGTGGCCGGATCAGCCGAGAGCACATTGTCTGAGTTGGTTGGGACAGGAGAGGGTGCCTAGTACCTGCAGTTTTAGATACTCTGAGGACGGAGGTTTGGTGAACCGCTACACAGTCCAGCAGGACCAGGATTGATACATGTACACAGAGAGCTTCAACTCATTTTTTTTGACTCACGACAATGTTGATAATTCAAAGTAGCGTGGGTAGAGACTAAGTGAAAACGAAAAATGCCCTATTCTGCTCCTCGCCCAATAACTAGCCGTGACTGACCTAAGGTAGGGGAAAAGCTCAGACTTGAGCCCTGGCCCATGTCTCAGATAGTCAACTGCAGAGCACGGCAGAGACGACTCTCGATAACAGTGGGTGGGTTAGGCTATCTGAGGTCGGCGAGCACCTCATAGCACGACACGCAGATTTCAATCTCTCCACACACGGATATCCTAAGCTCAGCGACCTGATCTCTGATTCCCCTCACTTCGATATTGAGCACTCTAGTGGCCAGGCCTCAGTAAATGTATTTTCAATGAAGGCTTTGAATTTTGTAGCACTTGTTGAGCTTGGGAATATACGAGCGAGCACGATTCAAGCTTGACAATATGTGAGCAGTATCTTAAACCGCGGATCGCGATGAAAGTTGGGTACCTGTATTGGCGCCGCGCCCACCGGAGACTAACCTGTACGTCTGAGCATGATTTACTTATCACACACAGACTCATTCACATAGACCAAGTGATATGAGATAAGGTGCGACAGTTTATATATATGGAAATCTCCTGAATCGGCGTTTTGCTCCTTTGTTCTCTGTCGAGCCACCTTCTTGACCAGCCCACCGAGGCGAGCGTCTGTTTGAGGCTCGAGATTGTGACCTTGATACGGAACTCGTCCCATTAAAACATTGCCATTTCGTCCACATACCATATAGGCTTTTCGAGGAGGCGATAAGACAGTGCTTCTAGCATCGAGGGGGTTATAATTCGTCGTCGACCGATGCGCGAAGGTACTCTTGACACTTCCGAACCGGAGAATACTGCTACTGATATTGATGATTGAACGGTTTCTAACGTTATACCCAGCAGTTTTGGCCATTTGTGATGCAGTCAGTGATTCGCTCAATTTCATATCCTGAATCATTTCGAGCCTTGAGAGACGGATATTTGCGTACTAGCAGCTGCAAGTTACAGGTCCAGGGACTGGGGAGGGGCAACTGAGCAGAACTGTATGGTGAAAACTTATTGTATTATGAAATTTTCCGTGAAAATCGTTCATTGTGTCAGGTTCGGAGATAGGTTCGGGGTAGATTGTGGTTGCGCGTTTTGGGCGGATGTTAAAGCGGACGCCAATGTAGGCGTCGGTGGGAAGGTTGTTGAGATTGGGACTTTCGGTTGGCGCTAGTTTAGGCTTAGGTTTAGAATCATACAGTTGAAGATCAGATGCACATTTTATGGTGGTTGACAATCCCATTCAAGATGACCATATGAAATCAGATAGAAGAATGATGACGAGTTTGCCACCCTCGGGTATCTTTATACCAGTATCCTCTTGGATATGGTAATAATGATCCATGTCCAAGTTCAAGCCTTCCATCTCGATTTTGCCACAGATATGTAAAGGGACCATGATCGAAAAAGATTGTGCGACTTTGGTTTCCCCCGAGAACGGGTATATCACGTATAAGGCCTCTTTCCATTTTCTCAATTTCCCCTTTGATGTGTTATTTGCCTAGCGTAATCCGCGAGGTTAGGGCAGGTGTCAAGAACAGAAGAGACAACTGACTCACGCTATACTCGGACAGACTCGCGCGTATAGGTATAGCGCAAGCTTCTGTTGGAAAGAATGGGGCAAATGCAGATCGGCTTGGTGTTGGAAAACGCTCAATGAATTCGCGGACTTCCTCCCAGGCCTGCGCCGCGGCGGTCTTCACGTCGTCGGATACCAGCGCTAACGGATAGGCTGTAGACATCGCACTCTGGCTGGGGCAAGGTGGGTTTTGAAAGGTGGTGAAGGATAGGAAAAGGAGCGCGGGGCTAAAGGCAACGTTGGAATGTCATGCGTGTCTCGTGACCTACCCACAGTGGGGTAAACCAAGCAAACCACGGGAATTTGGGCCGCAGTTCGACCCAACCCCCCGTTCGTTGCATCTTCGTCCAACACATGGTTTGAAATGAAATTTCCCGACTTGGACAATTCGCAACCAGACATTTGCAAGCCTAGCCAAGTCAATGAAAGTACCTAGGAGCGCACAAACGAAGTTGTTATCCGAGGCAAGGAACCCCGCAATATCCATCGGCTCATCTCCAGTCGTGAAGTTATGAGCAAATTGAGCCCATTCCGGAAGTTGGAAGCTTTAACGGACCGCAATCATCACTTTCAGGTTGGAGATTGCTTTCCTGTCCCATGCCGAATGCAAAAGGTATCTCATTCTGGTCGTTGGTTGTCAAACACCCCCATCGGCGTACAAGGTCTTCACTTCTTCACTCCCGTGTCTTCTCGGGTCGATACAATAGCACATTTGTGATGAACCTTTTTGATCTTTCCAATATATTAGATACAGCCAGGGATTATACTTATTTAAATTCCCAGTTGTCGCTGCCTTCAAAAGTAGACCAGCCTACTGTAATTCTGCCGGGCTTTTCGTCGCCGAGCGAGTATTCTGGTGATGCCAATAGAGCAAGTACGCGCTTGTCTTTTCCCAAACATTATTGAAATTCTAGAGTAGCTTCAGAGTCCAGATGACTTAGCTCAAATTCTCCAAAGACATTGCATTTCTTTGCTACTCGGTACCTACAGTTCTCTAAGACGGGATGATTCGTAGCGAATGGTGTAACAGCCAAGTAGACCCAGAAACTAAGAATAGAATCGAAGGCTATGTAACTTAGTGCCTGTCCGATGGAAGAAACGACGGAAAAAACTGGACAGGGGCATGAACACTACATGCCATTTGCCACGCGCGAGACTGGGGACAGACTGCGCATTAGGCTTGCTTCCCCTTCGCAAACAATGGTAAACAATTCTACGCCGAGGTGTTTATCAACGCCTCAAAGGCAAAAGGGCCAGGTGGATGGAAAATAGACCTTATATTCTTGCAAAATCGCTTGTTGTTTGTGGTTCACCGAAACACCACCTCTGAAGACGAGTCTGCACCTTTCAAAAAAAAAAAAAAAAAAAAAAAAAGGAGTAGAAAGTAAGCTCGTTGTTGATGAAAGGAGGAGAAGGAGAAGGAAGCGAAAGATTAACGTATCTCTATAAACACTGAACGCCACGGACATCTTCCGCAGGCCGTAGGCCTAAATCCAGAGGTAATTGCCGTCAGACTTAGCGGGAGACAGGGACAAGAAATCTCTTCGATAGATTTAGCAATTATCTTCAGCCATGTCGATAACGAGCAATAAAGTTGAGGGAATGAGCCTAGTCTGCAAGCCAAGTGAAGCAAACGCCAGCCTTGGAACAAAAGTGCTACCGCCCTTCTTAGGGGCCCTGGAAATCGAAACCCCGGAGGTCATATCGGAGTTCGGGATAAGATACAGTATCTGGAGAGTGCCCGTGAAAAAGAAATGATGGCCCTGATTCGGCAAAGGGCCTGATGGGCTGGGTGAATCCATCTGTCATGTACGGAAAATTATCCATTCGCAATCGACTAGGGCTGTATATAGACCCGGACTGCAAGGAAGAGTTGTTGGTTCGCCTTTGCCCTTGTTGAGCTTGTGATGGCACATGAACGTTGGTCGATGCCACCTGATAGAGCCCATTCCCTGGGGACTCATTGTTGGTAATCTGGGTAGGTCGGCTCTGTGCCAATGCATGGAGAGTAGTAGAGCCGGAGTCGGGGAACACGCCATCTAGTATAATACCGCCCGGAATGCCATTTAGAAAATCAGATGCCGCTGGTCGAGAGTCGATCCAGTCTGTTCCAACGCAAGGATACATCTGTTGGCTGTTTTGATGATATAATGACCTGCCACGATCGGCACCATGAGAGGTTTCATGGGACAATGATAAATCGAAGTCCCCTAAGTCTGTTAGCAAGACCTTTCATGGGATTGACAATAAGCTACACACCAAGGGGTCTGGGAGAATTGCGGTGTCCATTTACCAGTGACTCTGGGACAGGACTCATCTCAAACGTGTGATTATTCCAATCACCAATTACACTCCGAACTTCATCATGATATGGCGAGCCTGGTGTATTAAATGGACTGGATGTTGAAAAATCGGTTTGGTTTAACTGTCGCCTTTTACGGCTTGTCTGGGTATTTCCAGGCACGCTTTGGCGACTGCTATCAACGTTAGATGTAATGCCTGGCCTAGATTGACAAGTCCCAGTTTCATCGTCGAGCGGTGTTTGAGCCCTTTCGATTGGCGCGGTCCCAACAGAAGAACGGTCGTAGTCTGTGGGTTATAAGCCAACGGCGCTTCTTTGATTGGGTTGGTCAATAAATACCTAGATCGGTCACAGAACCCTCCTCGTATGACAGTTCCTCATTGTCGATGCCAGAAGAATTTTCGTTTCCCAAGCCAGAAGATGGACTGTCTGCATCTGGCTGAGTATACGGGGATGGGGTCTTCTTTCGTCGCGGGGCAGGATAAACTTCCGATAACCCCTTTCGGACTTCGCATGAAACTAATCAGCGATTCTTCTTATGCGAGCAACTCCAGGCCGTATGCTTACTTCCTTCGACCAACGTGGCCCTTAATGGGCCAAGGTGATGGGCGATTATTTTATCTGCAACAGTATTCGCGTTAAGCTTTGTCGCTTCCCGAGCAATGCCCCTCTTGAGTAGCGAACTTATTAACTCTTTGCGATCTGGATGGTCACGACTTTCGGGAAGGTGGTTTAGAACGCTGGTACTCAAATTAAGCATGTAGATGAGCAATTTATACGACGGAAAGTCTACTTACTGAGACTTCGATAAAGTGGTGAAAAAAGGGCACCGCGACCATTAAGATCTTTAGCCAGGCTTGAAAATTTAGCACCAGCTTTGATCCATTCCTTGATCTTCTTGCGGGTTTTGGTCTCATTAAACCCATCCACGGCACCGGTTTTCCCGATCGCAGCGGTAATAAGATTCAATATCTCAGAAGTGAGTGGTTGATTTGGAGTGATTTCCTCTTTGAGGTCATAGAAAATAACACAGTAAAAACGTAGTCGAACACTTTCCAAAGTCGCTGTGCAGTCGGCTTCTGAGCAGCGGATATAAACTTCCGCGATCGGGGGAATTTGGAGGCGGGTTACTGTGGGAGGGCTAGAAATGCGCTCAGCTAGGGAAAGGTGGAACATTTGCGGATCTTCTCTCCATATTCGAAACTCTGCCTCTAGTTCCTCAGGAAGACGTATGGTATCTAAGCGTTCGCTGGCGAGCAATGTTCTGCTAGGTCGGGCTTTCAGTTGAACGGGCAGTTGCTTCAACAATGCTTTTGCAGCTTTGACAAAAGCCTGTGTCAATTAGCACAGCGTCGGACATGGTTAGGAAAACGAACATCAGACTGGCAAATAAGGTCCGGATCAAGACGCGATATTCCATTTCTCTCGGCGTTAATGCAAGCTTGAGAAAGATCTGAGCAAACTACTTTGGTTGCAGCGACACCCATACTGCGGAGGGGAAGAACGGAGGTATGGAATCGGGAGGTTAAAAGTAACAAATGAGAGAACGGAAGAGAAGGTAAGGAAGGGGGAAAGGGGGGATCGAAAGGATACCTAACTACTGACGGGGATCAACAGCGTAGAAAGGCGCCATTAGTTGGCCGAGTCACATGCAGCTACGCTGGGGTCCAAGCCAAGACAAGTTTTGGGCGATCAACCAATAACATCACAGTGCAGGGAATATTGAACTAATTTACCTAGAAGGAAGGAACCATCTTTTGCTTGCTGCCATCATCGCGAAATCCAGACCTATTACATCAGTGGCATTCCCACCTAATTCTTCTTCATTTTGGTCGAAAAGAGGGTGAGTCGGTTCTGGATTGGAAAGTGGTCGTTGCTGATTCTCAAATGTCTAGCCACAGGAAGGGCCGATAATTCGCCGCCTCAGCCTCGTTTTCCGGCCTATCCAACAACCAAGACGGTGGCGAGAAAGACAGTAGTTAAAGTGGCAGGCGCTTCAATAAAATGCGTTAAGCCCGAGGCAAGAGAAATGATCCAGTGTTCGAACGATAGGGTTTGTGATCCAGGCATAAATCAACTGCGCCGAACGCCTGCGCAACAAGCAGCTCGAACCAACTGGCCTGTCCAACTTTCATCGATGATTGAACCGAGCAAGATGTATACGGTAGAAGGAAGGTTGCTTCCGCTGGGCCAATGATATCTGTCATCCATGAGAGCATTGTCCTTGTAAAGATCAATCTCGCACTTGTTGCTAGTCACAATCTCATACACGACTTCTTCCAAAATGGGGCTAAGGAAAGGGAGCTCAATTTGTTTTGTGTATCCAGTTTCATCCCACGGTATCCATCCATATCTGTTTCTATTGGGGTTAGGTAGGCTTCGGTAAAATCACAGACTTTGATTGATAAATCAAAGTGAGAAGGTTGATGGTCTTTTAAATATGCGTGCGCAAAGATCTCTGGTCTCTATGTGGGCGAGTCGTAGGCCTTCACCCATAAAGCTACATAATGCAATGGACAACACTCGCACATTGTTCGTCTGTTGTCGGTTGCAGATGGCGGTAAATATTCTGCTTAAGCTGGATAGCATGCAAATTAGATCAGATATCAATACCTCTAGTCCAGAAATTTCGAAGAGTCATTTCTTGGTTATTAATTGTTAAACCATCTCGAAATACTACGAGGGCAGTTCTTCTGTTATATAAGACGTAGTTCTGGGAAATCTACTGGCCCTTTGTATCTAGAAGTGGAGAAAATGGCATTGGGGAGATAAATTTGATGCAAAATGAAGGATCGTATGTGGATGAGCAAAGTGGTCAATCCACGGGCCTTAATGACCCTCGATCACCTGACGAAACACTAATCGTTTCAAGATACATCTCCTCGTCCCCACCAAATAAGCTAAACTCTACTGGGACCCTCGCGCTATGGCGGGTCGCGCATTTCCACTCCATCTTTGACGGGCCTGAAAAGGATGCAATTGTTATCGGCTTTCCCTTTGCAAGGGGAGAGTCTAGCAAGGGTTTTCCGGGCCTTCCAGCACATACTGTAATAATAACGTGGCTCCACACCTTTAAATGGCCGATAATTAAGGGGGTTCGGGTACTTGGCAGCTTTAGATCTTTCAGGAGAAGGATGGCTCACGGTTGTATGTCTTGATTCAAATCAGACGCAAAAATACCTATTTTCATATTTCATCATCTACTTATGATTTGAGTAGGGCGCTGTCACGAGCGGGTGAAAGTGATATTTCGAGTTACCTCAGTTACCTCAGCCGCCCCCAAAAAGGCGGTGAATTTGGCCATCCACCGCCTGCTGTTTCCAGCGATGCTGACACACCTTTTTTGGGGAACGTCTGAGCTGGGAATTTGGTGGTACCATACAAGTTTCCGGGGTTTTTGCCCGTGTTTATATGGCGAAGTTTCCAGGCGCGTCTTTCAATATTTCCAAGTTTCTCGCGCACCCACGCGAATATTAAGAATCGGGCGACGATGTCTTCTGCATCTTTCTGAGCTGAACCCATTGACACCAAAATTGTATGTATAACTGGAAAGGTGGGTGAGAAATATGTCCTTAAAATACCCGAAGGAACCCTTTCTTAAGCTGTCAAAGCCATTATATGCCCCAAGTATTCCGCCAAAACCTCCATGAAGCATATATTGACATATTTTAATGTATAGTGGCTACATCTGATCCACAATATTAACTCTATCGCGTGAGAATTGACTCCAAACCCGCCTCACGATGCCAGATCGACGCCCATCACGACGGAAGCCTCCTCGGAAATATAACGCGAAACTGAACGACCCCGGAAATGGACAGACACAGTTGGATAACTGGTTGGCCTCTGAGAATAATCGACCTTCTTCAAAGGCTGGAGAGCCTATTGAATTGGGAGTGGAGTACGAGAATGAGGGCGCAACTGTCTTGCTGGAGAAACAACAAGTTGAGAAGAATTCAGTTCTTCAAGCGCAGAAACTGATTCGCGATGCGTCTGAGAAGCGTAAGGATGAACAGGACCAAGCCATCAGACAAGCAATTCGAGAGCTGTATCCCTATTATCCACGTGCGGGTCAGTTGCAAGCATTGAGACAATTGATCTACCTGAGAAAGGACCTTATCCTGATTGCGAAGACGTCATTTGGGAAGAGTATGATATTGCAAGCAGTGTCACTCTTGCTTGATAAGTCTATCACCCTTGTTGTGCTTCCATTGAATCAAATTGGCGTTGAGCAGACCAATTACATCGAGAACATTGGAGGGCGACCTTGTTTCCTAAACAGGGAAACATTCTCATCCGAACTTCTTGACAGGGTACAAGCGGGCAAGTTCACACATGTCCTCGTGAGTCCAGAGCTTGCAATCAGTGACAAGTTCCGTTCAACTGCTATGCATCCAGGTTTCCGAGACCGGCTGGCTCTGGTTGTTGTAGACGAAGCTCATCTTGTGGCTCAATGGGGCAAAGATTTTCGAACGGACTATGCGCGATTGCATCAATTGCGAAGTCTATTCGGCAGTGGCGTCCCCTGGTTTGCATGCTCTGCTACGCTTGATATGAATACATTGCGCGTTGTTATTGAGGGACTTGGGTTTCCAAAGGATGTTGAAATCTTGCGGACATCCGTCAATCGTCCAGAGTTGCTCATTCAAACAGCTTGGATCCCACAAGGCGCGCATAAGAAGGCAACGGCCTTGCGTTTCCTGTTTGACAATGGTCCTTGTCAGCCCATTTTACGACCGTCACGAATCCCAAAGACATTGGTATTCTTTGACTCGAAGAATGATGCATATACTGCCATGGAAAATTGTCGGTATTGGCTGCAGCATAACAAGCAACCAGATGGGGCAAGTGTTCAACATTGCAACTATACCCTCAAAGAGGCAATGGATACGGTGAAGGTCTACCATAGCGACACCGCAAAGGGAGACAAGGAAGCAATGATCAAAGAGCTTCAGAAACCCGGACCGCAATCCAAGCTTCGTGTCCTCATGACCACCGAGGCACTAGCGCTCGGAGTGGACCTCCAGGATATTGATCAAGTTGTCATGTATCGGTTCCCCAAAAACCTACAACCAGCAACGCTCTGGCAACGCGGTGGTCGGGCATCTCGCCTTGGACAGGATGGAAAGATCGTTATTCTCGTTGATCAGTGGATACAGGGGCGTATCAAGAAACGTGCCGTGAAACGCAAGATTCATACAGAAAATGATGATCTAGCGGAAGACAACCCACTGGCCGATTCAGATGATGAAGTCAAAGAAGCAAACCCTGAGAGACCACAGAAAGGTGGACGCTTAAGTCATGAAGAGCGACGTGCTGTGTTGCCTGAATTTTGGTATCTCCTTGCCAATGAGCCTACAGAATGCCTCCGGAAACGGTTCCTGGACTACTTCAATGAACCTGAAGAGTTCAGATGTAATCCTCGGCGTGACCGGTGCTGCAGCAACTGCAATCCTGAGTATCAGCTCAATGATCCAACTCGTTATCTGTATACTGAGCACGGTCCGAGGTCAGGACAGATGGACGAGATAATCATCAACCAGTTAAAATATTGGTCCAAGGAGGTCCTTTCAAGCGCTTTGAACGGAGTGAAGTTCATACCTGATTGCTCAAGCATACTGGCAGAAGAACAATATGTCCATCTTGCGATATATATTGAAAATGCCACCTATTCGGAGCGGGAATATTTCCAGGCAAAGGATCTTCAGACAATATTGGGAATATGGGCTTTGTCGAATCAGCTTGCTGAGGGTCTTGTGGATGTCTTGAAGAATGCATATCAAGCAGCCTTTATGGCCACTATTCAAACCCCTGCAAAGAGGAAGCGTGTGTCGAATGACTCTAGTCAAATGAGTGAATGCAGCAACCTCACATGGTCTTCTGCAGTCACGCCAGAAAGCACCAGTCAACCAACTCCATCTCGGAATATCTCTCCGTGGGTTGATATTAACACGCCATCCCAAGCTTTTATGGACATGCCTCCTCCTTCGGCAACTCCAGTTCCCAAACGCAAGGCCCTCGGTGTGGTATCAGGAAATGGGCGTCGCGTGATGAAGGGTGGAGAAGACCTAGGTTCTAAGGTCTGGTAGAGAATGATGAACAATCCATCTGATGCATTCCATCAATGTGTGTCAGTCACCTTATAATATAGCGTGGGAGTATTATCAATGGAATGAAGAGAAGTATAGCTAAAGCTGTCCCGGCAGCAACCTGCTATTCAGTGTCATGTGTCATTCTCTTCAATCTCATCTAGAACAGCAATAGGAGTCGATGTCATCTTGCTAAAATCAACTTCTTGTGCCCACTGTCCGTTGACGACGAGGCTATTGAAGTTCTGTACGGCTTTGAAGAGCTTTTCGCCAATTGTTTCTGTGAGTATATCACATGGTTGAAAGCCTCTTGTCCGACCATTTGGTTGCTTTTGGATGCACTTCGAGATCTGATAAGCTAGATGACGAACATCCTGGCTAGCATCCTTATTTTGGTG